ATTGGATGAAAGAATTTAACTCTTAAATGTACAGATACTAAAAAGTTGATTTTATTACTACATAAAAATCTTGTTCCTAGGATAGCAATAGCATTTGATCTATATGGAAAATAATGTTTATAGTTCATTCTTATATTTCTTTATTGATTATTTCGTTTGTAGTATATGAGAATAAAAACAATTATATTCGATTCTAGTCAATGAATAACTGTTCTAGTTTTGCAGATGAAATCATATTAATTTAATTTTAATGGATAATTTCTATGATTCACAAAAATTTATTTTACTAAATAAAAAATAAATTATTATCTTTGTTCTTATGATTGAATATTTCAATGTTTTCATGATGAGTCATCTTTATCAGTCACCAACACTGTTGTTATGCTCGCATCGTGAGCTACTTGAAAACTCAATCTATGAAATCTAACTATTACGAGATACAATGCTATACATCATCTTCAGTTATACAAATAATATCAAATAAGATGCTAAAATAAAAGCTTAGTTCTTGTTTTAGTTTCCTTTTTTTTATATCGCAAAAAAAAGTTTTTTCTTTGCAACATAAGTTTTTGAATGTGTAAGATCTTCATTCAAAGATTTCGAAGAATAATTTTCTTTAAAATCTCGATTCTATCTTTCGTAAAATATTAAATAATTGAATCAATAAATTTCTATTTAACGCAAAATTCTTGTATAGTTTTATATGACTTCAATAGGTTACAAGAAATAAAAAGATGAGAACTTGCAGTTAGTAGAGAATTAGTTATGAAAAATTTGTCCTATAAAATGATGGTATTTGTTAAAAATATTTTTGTTGTACATTCTTATTCATCTTGAACATAAGATACGTTATGAACACTTAAATCAAGTTTGACTGGCTCTTTTTGATGTTTTTCATTAGCTTCAACAATTTGATCTGCATCTTCTTTTGTGATTGTACCACGATTGTTAAGTGTTGTATTTGCAATTGAACAAACTTTTTCATCTACTTTTGTTTCACCAACTGCTAATTTTTCCCAATATTTTCGTGTTTCATGTATAACACGTAGTGCATATTCACGATTAGCATATTTTCCATCAAGTGCAAATTTATTTGGAGGTTTTCCAGTTGGAACTTTATAATATTTAAACCAACGACGTGTTGCTTCAAGTAAACCTGGAAGTTGTTTGTCAACATCATCAATATCATTAATCTATTAAAAAAAAAAAGACAAGAAGTAAGTAATTGTTTGTTTGTTTGTTTATTTATTTTAAAATTTTACTTGTGATGCAAGTTTATCACGAATATCAATACCAATTAATTTCCAATCTGTTTCACCTTCATCAATTAAACCAAGTACACCAACTATTTTAACAGGTACAATTGAACCAGTTCCATGAAGACTAGTACTTATTTCACATACATCTAATGGATCATTGTCACCTGTTGTTTTTGTATCTTTATCAACATGATTTGGATCTTCCCATGTTTGAGGTAATGCGCCATAATTCCATAAGTAACCATGATAAGGAAATACATTATGAACAAAACGAGGTTTACCTTTAGAAAAAAAAGAACAAGAAATTTAAAATTAGAAAAAATAAAAAATAAAGATTTGAAATAACAAACCACTCTTAATATCTTGAACAATTGGATTCATTTTAAGTTGTTTATTTATTTCCATTTTAGCATTGGTCCATCGTGGTACTTCAACAACCATATTATAAATCGTATCTACTGGATTTCCATTTGGAGGAGTATAATGTTCATTAACAAGTGGAATATCATGAAATGGTGAAACAATTGTTTTTGTTTTAATATCTCGAAAATAACAACGATAATTAAGTGTATGTAATTGACCACGTTCAACTAATTCATAACGTTGAATTTCATTGTCATTGGATTGCGATGCCATACTTGCTTCTGGTTTACCTTATACACTTGTATGTTAGATCGAGTGTTTTTTGGTCTTGTTGACACTGTAGACAGGTATTTTTTTATGCTCGTCGATGACGAAAAGATTCGAGTGTGTTCTAGAATGAAGAAGAATAAAGAAAAAAAAAAGAATACTCGAGAAAGAAAGATTAATTTCTGAACGTATAATCACATAAGACGCGCGAACGGACTAAAAAATGATGGTGCGCATGGCGAAAACTAATTATGTTTCACATCAATGCACACATCATAACTAAGGTAATTTTCTTCTTTCCTGATGGTAAATTGAATTGTGATTTGTTTGGAGATATATAGAAAATACAGTATGGAGATTTTTCATTAACATTTTATATATATATGAGTCTATCATGACACGTAGTCGAATATTTACGTCATGGTGATTGTTCGGCAAAAAAAACAAAAATTATGGTGTAATTCATTGAAATTTTTGTCAGAATAGGTTTTCATATTTATTTAATGTCATTCAAGGATTAATTAAATCATACAAAATGTACAGGAAAAATTTGAATAATAGAAAAAAATATGTACTGAAACTCGAAACTATTATGATAATGATGTCATGAAATATTTTTTTTTTGTAATGATTCCAATGATTAATACTTTGACCTTGATCAAATAAAAGAGAAAACACAAGACGTATGAAAATGAAACTATAGAATAAACGTGGGTATTTCTAAAGAAGGATATTTATGTTTGAATATTCGATGGTACATGGATTGACCTATTTATGTTTTGTTTCTTGTGACTTCAAATCTTGATTTTAATTATAAAATCAATAACAATCATCTTAATAATAAATTCATTTTTTATGCATATTTAATAATGAATTTTCTTAATCCTTAGTTAATTAAATTTTATTGATAAAAAAAAATTTTTTTTTTGTACATACGACCTCTGTCTTATTTAAATGTAACTATAGTAACTAAAATGAATATGGCTACTTTAAATTCTTTTTTAACTTTATTGCTTCATCGTTAACTTGGATTAAAAATGCCACCAAAAGGGAAAAAAGGAAAATCCGAAAAAAAGAAAAGTAAAGAGAAAGAAGAAATTCTTCGTCCATCTGAAAAAGAAACCATTCTCCAAGAAGAGTAAGATTTCTTTTCTTTAACATAAAAATCTAATTCTTTTCTTTTTCTTTAGACTGGATAAAAAAGTTCAAGAATTAGCTGATATAAAATTGCGTGTTCGTACTGCGTAAGTTGATTTTCATTAAACTTTTCTTCTAAATCTTTTTATAGTCAAGAAGAAAATCATTGGCTTAATGGAGAAGCAAATAAAGTTCGTGCGGAAACTGTAAATATTCAAATAAATCTTCTTAATATTCATAAATAAACACATTTATACTAGGCTGAATATGTGCAATATATGTCAAAAAAGACAAATATTCGTCAAGCACAAATTGTTACATTAACTGATTATCATCGTCAAGAAATCGAAGAAATTAATCGAGATAAAGAAAATATGCTAAAAGAATATGAGAAAAAGAAAGAAGGTTTATTATGCTCAATTAATATTTTCTATAGGAATTGTTTTTCTTGTTTTTTAGAATTACGATCTCAATTATTGAAAAAAGAACAATTATTAGCACAAACAATACATGAATTAGATTCTATGGGAGAATATAAAGTTTGTTTATGAAAATTTTTATTTTATTAAAAACAAAATAATAAAACGAAGATTAATTGTAGAATATTCAAGAACAACAAAATAATGAAATAAAACGTTTAGAAGAAGAAATTGATCATATGCGTGGTGAACATGTACGTGAAATATCTGGTATGCGATTAACTTTTCAAAAAGAACTTCAACGACAACGTATAGAAGAAGATGCTAAGGTTCAGGAAATTAGACGACAAGCCGATCAAGTTTGTTTAAATAAATAAATAAATAAATATTCATTAGTCCTTATTATTATTATTATTTAGGAAGCTGAACAATTTCTATATGATCGAACTTTAAGTATTCAAAGTGAAAACCTTCAATTACGTAAATCATTACAAGAATTACTTAGACGAATTCAAGCATTGGATGAATCAAAACAAAATTTAGAAGCAGAACAAATTATTTTAATTCGACAACTTAAATTAGCTACTGATGTTAAACGGATACGTTTGAATAAAACTACACTACCTATTAATATTACTTCAACAAAATCAACACCTCATTAATCTCATATATGAATTTTTTTTTTATATCTATTTTTATTTTGGATTTTGGATAAATAAAAAAAGATGCGTAAAAACACCACGCTTGAATAAATCCGAAATTCATCCGAAGAAGTTGTCATACTTGTTATAGATTTACTTAGGGCATTCCAAAAACATTAAGAGTGACACTTTAATACTGTATAGTAAACTTAAAGAAACTTTCTTTTTATACAGTCGGATAGAGAAGAAAAGCTCTATCTTCCTATGCAATTTGATCATATTTTAACTAATATCATAATAATAAAATTTCGATAAGATGTGTTTCTTTATCATATGTGCTGGTTGTATTAATATCGATTTTAAAATGTACGAGTGAGTATTTTTTGAATAACTTTTGATAAAAACAAGATAGAGAACTGCAGTTTTCACCGTTGGAAAGAGGAGATGAAGACGCATCGAATTATATATTCCAGGTTTTCCTGATCTTTTCTTGTAAGGTTTTCAATTGATCTTTTTAAAAGAAACTCATCGGATAAGCTGTTTACAATAAATTTTCAATCATCAAGTATAAAGTCAAAGCACTAATCGAAAGCTTACAATATTTGGAAGGCTGAGATGAATATTATGCATTCTAGTCAAGCCTCTAATATGACTTTTTAGCAAAATCTGCGAAAAAAACTCACTTTTCAATTTTTTTTTCAAAACAAACATTTTTCCGACTGTTAGAAAATTGAATAAAAATACTTCAGAAATCAATATTAGAAAAACCTACAATATACGATTGGTTGCATCTTTATTTCCTTTTCCAACGATGAAAACCGCACTACTCTATCTTATTTCTATCAACAGTTCTTCAAAAAATACTCACTAACCGTGACACATGTGAACAAAACAGATCTTATCGAAATTTCATTATTATAATGTTAGTTGAAGTATGATCAAATAGCATAGAAAGATAGAGCTTTCTTTTCTCTATCAGACTGTATAGAAAGAAAGTTTTTTAAAGTTTACTCTACAGTATTAAAATGTCACTCTCACTATTTTTGGTATGCCCTAAGTATTTTTGTCTTTCCTTTTTCTAATACTAGAACAAAATAACTAAATGATAATAACAGTCATTCAAAAATCACGCCGTCGGGCAGATTAAGTGGAAAAGATAATATAAAAAAATATTCTATTTCAGTAATGCGCATTAAAATATTCGAGGTAATTGTGATTGTCAAAGAGAGGACATGGTTCAAAATAGCTCAAAAACTGATTAGCGATTTCCAAGCAATCTTATACAAGACAAGAAAACGTTTCTTTTCTTTCTGTCCTTATTATATTTAATCTGACTGTATCATAAAAATAAATTGATATAAGAGGACCAATTTCTTTGAACACATTCCTATCTATGTCGTCTTTATTCTTCACTTATTAAATCGTATTACTTTTACTTTTAATTTAAATTCATAATACTGAAAACAATCAAGTAATAATATAAGATAATTTAATCAAATAAGTTTACAAAAATAAAATATTGCAATTATTATTTCCAATTTTTCCAGTATCATTAGTTACTGTCTAACATTTTAACAAATTATTTTTAATTATTATGTCAACCTTTAAAATGATTCTTTCTTAGTGATTAAAAACAATAATAAGTATGAGACGGACCCAATATATTTCTTTGTGATTTTAATCTCATTTTAGTTCGGTATTTCTTCTAGAGATAGTTTGTAAATGCAAGGTCCACATTGATACAAAGAAATTCTATTTGGCCAGAATAACAACTGTCACCAATAATCTGTCTGCATACTAATTCTCTCATGTTGATCGTCTTTGCAATGAAGCTCCATTTGTATACTTTAATCACCATTCATACTTGGTCGATGCAAATGAAGTATCATCAAAAATCTTCAGTAAATTGTTAAAATGTCTTATGGATATATTAATATGCAAAACAAGATATTGTTTTTTACTCAAAAGTGTCCATGAAAAGTTTTAAAGACTGAAGACTATTTGTTGGTGATGAAGAGGTTAGAGTAAGAGATGAAAGAAAAGATGCTTTCTCTTTAGTAATCAATATAATTAAAAGGATTTATGAAGAGTTATAATTAAATCTTACATCTGATTGTGCTAATTTATTCCATCAGCTTTTAAATCGTACAATCATCATTAAATCAATTACATATAAGATGTCTGTTGATGAAGTGGAAACAATAGCACTTGGTAAACTAATATAAATCGAAAAAAATGATTTGCTTTTCTTTTGATCAACATTTATTGTTGATGTAATATCAAAAGTCGAGAAAGTAAAGAAAAATGATTTTTTAAAACTTGAAAAATAATGTATATATATATACATCACTTCCTCGTTACTGATCATGCCACAGAGATGAACAATATTTCTCATCTATTCTAACCTGTGATATATTTTTTAATAATGTTCCCTTTCAGATGTCATGACAGGTAACCGTGTCTGTCGTCATATATGGGGGAGCAGGTACAATGTTCTTGCTGCAGAATTCATCCATAATTGGCAATCATGTATCAAAATAGAAACTAAGAAATGAAAAATAGGCGCTGTGAAATACTCTTATGGGTGATTATTGACAAAAAAAGATTTAAAAAATCATTATAAAACTCATCATTTTATGAATTTTTCATGTTTGTCAGATTCGATTAAGCCCATCAATCCATCTGTTCTCTAGCTCACATATGACTGTCGATTAATAGAGAGCATTTGTGTATTGAGTGGGATTTTAATATAGATAAATTGCCCATAGCCTACATTCAGTTTCATATGTCATTGCAAGAGGGAACCAGT